AGTCAAGCCAATTCAAGAGTCCTAACACCACCACCATTGTAGCAGGATAAATGTTTTAAAGAATATCAAACTTTGGATCTCAGATGCTACTCTCAGGGAAGAAAGAAATAAGTCAACTCCCTAGTATGCCTACAACAATAGTTAAGGGCTTGATGACTAGCCAAAAGGTCTAGAAAGACAAGCCTGGTGATCTGCTCCCCAAAAGTAACAGACTTGACACAAATGGGGACGCATTTGTAACTAAGAACAACAGAGTCTATGGTTAGGGGCTTTCTGCATGTTTGTTATTTTTGTGTCTATGATTGACACTTCTATGCAAGAGCTTTCTCAATATTTCTGTACCTCAGTCTCCTGTCTTCTTCATTTCTTTAAAACTATAAAAACTATTTTGGTTTCAGATCAAATGCACAACAAAAGTGGTATTAAGTGTCTAGATTTGATAATTTATTGATAGTTATCAGGAGTCCTGGTGTGATGCTGTAGGATAAATATTGGATTACTTAACATAGACCAGTGAGGGGTTCAAATCTACAAGTCACTCCTTGGAAACCTCCTCTTGGGTTGCTATGTGTTGGAACCAACTTGACAGCCCTTTACAAACAGCAACAAGAAGATAGGTATCAGAGTATTTCACACTATTTGAAAAACAAAGACTTTTAAAGAAGAAATCTCAACTCCAAGGGGATTGCTGAAACAAACACAAGCCAGCAGATGTTAGCAGAGACTACAGCTCTGAGTTCATGTTAATGGGACTGCATTCTTTATATCCCTGCCTGTAGGCTCAACCCCACGAATACAATGCTATGTGCCCAGGGGCATACAATGTAAATCAAAGATAATTTTTCCAGAAACTTTTTGGAGCCCTTTCACTAAGTGAGTGGTATTGATTTTTACCCCTTTGGGGTCCATGGAGCATATATTGCACACCAACATTTTAGCCTCTCAGATTTCTTGAGAAACTTTTATCCCAGCTTTAGTACATGCTACCACCTGGTGGACACTTCTATAACTGCTTAAATCTGAAAAAATGGACCTCACCCTACCAATCACACCACCATAATCTACTTGAGGCATGTGTATTTCACATAATTGTATTAAAACCCATATTACTTAAAACAAAACAAAACAAAACAAAAAAACAAACCTTGATTTCAGTATGCCTTCCATTACTGAAAATACATGGCATCTACAAACATTTCAAAGCAGAAAATAATTCAGTCATAAAAGGGTTAACAGAGTTGCCTGAAATTGGAAAGATCCCTGGGTTGCTCAACTGTAGAAGAAAGTCCTGGTGAGCTGTTTTCTTTAAGATGACAGACAGGAACACACAAGATTGCCTGTAAAACACAGGATTGTCAGGAGTCAGAATTGACTCGAGAGCAATAGGTTTAGATTTTTTGTTGTTGTTAGACTGGTTGTAGGTTATTAGCTGTCATCAGGTTAGCCAGACTCATGGCCGTCTCATGTGCAGTGGAATGAAATGCACCTGGTCCTGTACCATCCCCAAGATGTTGTGATTTGTAGGGTTTCTGGTGCTGGCATGATGTTATGGTGAATGTGATAAAAAAAAAATGTTAGAGAAGTAGTGTGAAAGGAAGCAGTGAAGCCCTTTGACAGAGCTACCCCACAAAGCAAAAGTAAAGGTCCTCCCTTATGTTCCCTGATTTTAGAACCTAACCATGTGCCCTAGACTGTGGATTTAGGTAAAGCCAGTGTATAGCATGAAGACATACAACCAGTAACTTAGGAAGAAATAGAGCCCAAAGGCTTTTTTTCAAATGGCCAGACTATTGAAGTGAACAGAAGTAGATGGAATACTCTCTTGCCTTACTTAGGTGAGCCATATCCCTTAGGTTGCAAAGAAAAAGAACATGTCTGAGAAACCCTGTGCTAATAAAGCTTTCCCCAGAGAAACCACTTTTACTTTATGAGATGGAAGTCTAATTCATTCTTCTGTTGTTAAGTCCAAACACAAGTAGAATTGTTTAATGTATGTGCTCAACTAATCTACTTTAGACGAAATAATAATTATCATTGACATTTCAATTTTCTCTGAATATACATTAAAATAAAATTATGCACACAGAACATATGAGTGCAGAGGATATTACTAATAATTTGCTGCAGGGAAGGCAATAAAACTTAAGTAATAAGTAGAAAGATGTTTCAAAAATGCTCATATCCTTTTAATTTAAAAAATCATGTGATATGAGAAATCTTAATGCTAAAGATCTGCTGAACTCTTTGGCATGAAAATAGATACTTTAAGAAAAAACCAAAAAACACAGAAAAATCTATGAACTACGTTGTTAATTGTATGCCAAGTAACACACTGAAGTGACTAATTTTATAAGGACTTTCAAAAAAATTCCAAAGAGCAGAGAGAGGGTTGTCTCTTTACAGTCAGGGGTTGTAACATTTATGCAGAGTTTCAAGATACTGAACAGATTCATGGTTGGTTTGCTTTTGCTTCTAATATATTCCCAAAAGGAGACTGTGAAAATAAAATTATATATTTGAATTAGAGTTTTTGGTTTTATTTTTAAAAGTGAACCGTGGTAATTAAGAGATGAAGATGGGACATATTAAGGCTTTGCTTCTAGACCGCACATTGTCTGAACATCTTTCATTGAAGTCTGTACTAATGAGCATTCCCTTCCCCAGGGTGATAAAGAAGCTGAATTAGGGCTTCCATTTTCCCCGCTTTGTGATCGGAAGTCAACGATGGTGGCCCAGTCACAAATAGGTAATACTGAAGATTGGTTGTTTTGGAGCATAGACATGTGCTTTTCCGTTTTCACATGCATACACTATGCTGTTTACTTAGTATTTATACAGTTAATCTCTAGACTGATGGTACTGGGTGCCAAGTGGAAAGAATTATTGAAACTCAATAAAGTAGCCTTAGTAAATGTAATTCTTTATGCAAGAGACAGGATTTTTAAAAAATCATTGTTTTGTTGCTGATCATTGTCTTCTGTAAAGTGTTCCTTTGAATATAGGACAATTCAATGGAAATATTAGTATAGTTATCCTATTATAACTAAGTTTGCCTAGTAGGCTTAAGGTAGTACTTCATTTTTTTTTTTTTTTTTTACAGAATTGTTTTGATAATCTGAGCAGGTGTGTATAGTAGTGGATTAAGTGTTGGCTGCTAACTGAAAGGTCAGGAGTTTGAACCCAGCAGCTGTTCCACAGAAGAAAAATGAAGTGGTCTGCTTCCCATAAAGATTTGCAGGCTTGGAAACCATATGGAGCATGTCTGCTCAGTCCTAGAGCCATTGGAAAATAGTGGCCTGGCTGGAACACATGTGCCAACAAAAGAAAATATATGATATTTCTCCCAAATATATTAATTCCTATCACTGATATTTCTGTTGGAGGCCTTAACCCCAGTCCATTACTAAAACATGTTGTTGTTTGTTATTCTGTTATTCAAATATTTGTAAAAGTTATCCCTAATCCAGCATCTTAATTTCTGAACTATATGACCCATAAACAGAAAATTTGTCACAAAACTTGCGTATACCACTACTACAAAGCAGCTGTCAACTTGCAGAACCCTTCTTGTTCTGACCTTTCCCCTTTCCCAAACAAGCTTCAACAGCTGTTTCTTATAGTGAACATAACACAGGTGCCTTTTGTTGTTTAGCAGGTGTGACAATGTCAGGCTGAGGACCTCATCTGGCCCTCTGGCAGGGATCTAAGTTTCTGAGACTTGTTCCTGTAATATTTACTGCTGCTGTGTTTATGGAGACACCCCATTTCATAGCCTATGTATCCTAGGCATTTCGACCATAGTTGGGACTTGAAATAGCACCCAAGGTAGCCAGTTACCATTGCTTTGACTTGAAGGCATTAATTAAAACACAAAGCTGTTAAGAATTTTTCATTACTATTTAAAATGTGTCTAACTATAACTAGTCAGTTATTTGAAATGTGGAATTACATTTTTCTGGGCATCTGGTTGATGAAAGGCTCTTCCATCCTGTCCTTTGCAGTACACCGTCACTTCAGAAGCCTGCCTTCAGTTACTGTCTTAGATTCAGATGTTAGCCTATTGCTCCCAGCAGATTTTAAGGCAACAAGCACTTGGTTGTAAGCACTACACCTGTGCACAATACTGGGATTCTTAGCACAGCAATTGAGGGTAGGCAGTTTTCCCCTCCTCCACCTAAACACTGGCTGACAAGTGTTTTCTGCAGGACAATTCCCCATTCTTTCTGTATGTCATTTTCTAGCTTGATGAGTACATTAAATGTAAGTCTTTTTTTTTAAGAACTCCTGACATCTCAAAGTGGTGGGATTAATGCTGCCGCCCGGAGATGTTACTGTTCTCTTTGATGATTTGATGGAATACACCCACATGCTGCTAACTTACACCTTACCTGCAGAGAGTAATAAACAACAATTTGAGAAAGCTCTGATTAGTACAGTGAGAGAGAGAAATATGAAAACAAAGAATGGTTGCTTGTGAAGAAAAAGTTCAATGACTTAATTTCTTTGGTGTTTAGACTATTTCTTGTTGATCAATAATAATGTCAACAAACAAGCAAAGATCTCTTAGGGCAATGATCCCTCTGCTGGGAGAAGGAAAGTGTGCTTACTCACACTCGAGCTGAGTGAATTTTCAATAATATACATGTAAGGCTGAGTATTAGATGGGGAAAATTTTGAGTTAATAAGTTTAAGTTGTATCACTTGTGCTCCTTAAAGATTGTTTTGTAACAGTTAAGCTATCATTTCTGAAGAATGTGTTATTTCATATGTAATCAATCAAGGAATAAGTTGATAATTGCTCTCCCAGAAGCGTCAAAGTCTCATCACTGCTACTGATTTTAGAGTCAGGAAAATGTAATATTTGAATTTATCTTTTCTTGCTTTTATAGGGTTCATTGACTTCATTGTAGAGCCAACATTTTCTCTTCTGACAGACTCAATGGAGAAAATTGTTATTCCTCTTATAGAGGAAGCCTCAAAAGCAGAAAATTCTTCCTTTAAGACCATCAGGTTTGATATTTTGGTCATTATCTTGCCTTTGAAGTATTTAATAACCTTTTATGATTACTTTTATTATTTCTAAAAATCTTGGCAGAAAATTGAGAAGTATTGTATAATACTGCCATCTAGTGGCAAAATGGTATATTGCATTTGCCTCTGAAAATTTCAACCACAATAAAAAATATTAAAATAGTTAAGGCGTCCTGGTATGGCGCTGTTAAGACAAGCCCTGAAGGGAAATTTTTGGTTGAAGCCTCAAGATGGGTGGTTCAAACTCACCAGCCGCTTCTTGGAAACCCTATACAGGGTCTCTATGAGTCGGAACCCACTCACAAGCCCTTAACTACAGCAACAAGAGGAGTTTAACAGCCATGATATGGCGCTGTAGGAATAAGGACTGGACTGGTAACTCAAGGTCAGCAGTTCAAACCCACCAGTCTCTCCAGGACAGAAAGATGAGGCTTTCTGCTCTCATAATACTTACAGTCTCAGAAACCCTTTGAAGGGTCTCTATGAGTCAGAACCAAGGAGTTTAATTAAGTAGCATTTAATACTCAGGAGAATAAAATTAAATAAATTTTCATTGAAGAATTATTGTGTATTGTGTCCTGGATATAGCAACATATCTGGTTATTGTGGGAAAAAATAATTCCAATCACAACCCATTTGTATATGAAGTATCTAAATTCACCTTTTGGGTTAAATGAGTACAACAGATCCTCGTCTTCATCTTAGATGAGTACAACAAATGGCTACATGTAACAGTGAAGTCCACTCAGTATACACAAACCCCACTTACAATATTTCAAACTGGATTTTCTTATTTATAAATGTGATTATTGTCATTCAGTGATAAAAAGGGATGCCATCATTAAAAACTTCCAGTAGCAGAACGCAAACTAGTAGTCCAGTTTTTCATAATGATCGCATAACAGGCCCTAGAAGCTACCCTAATGAGGAAACACAGGAGATGATCTACCCGAGAGAGACCAGAGGTTAGCCTGAGATTACACGGTGGAGGGAGGGCCGGAAGCCATTACCCCACTAAGTGGTCCCAATGATGATCTCCTTTTTATGACACACATGAGTGGACTCTCCACTAAGCTAGCTCCCTTCAAGCTTCTGCAGCTCTAAGAATCCTACTCCTATCAGGACTTGGCCAACCTAGAAGACATATGCAGCTCAGGACATCCTGTATTTGGGCATTTCTATGTGTGAGGGGAGGTGGGAGTGACCAGCATCACCACTGCTCAGAGTTAGGACCACCGGAGCCAGGTGTTTTTAACTGATCTTATGGAATTTATCAAGTTCAACTCTTATTCAATATCCTGACGTTGTTTATTTTTTTTTTTGTTTATTTTTTTCTTTTGTTGTTATTGTTAGTGCAAGCTCCACTGGGGGGTTAAAAATAGCAGATGCGCTGAAGCACTCAAATGTGAAAAACAACATAAGTGATGGTTCCTATACTCCGGACTATTCCCTTGCAGCAGTGGACCTGAAGAGCTTCAAAAACAATCTGGTGGACATCATTCAGCAGAACAAAGAGAGATGGAAAGAGCTAGCTACACAAGGTATGGCTGTTTGGAAGTCTAGGGCCAACAATCTGTCTTAATTGCTTTCCAATGTATATTTTAGAGTCTCACACACACACCCCTCTAATTTCCATTTTTATAAAGCACACAGGCCCCTTGTAATATTTAGAATTTGGCTGCCTTTTAACGATTCATGAGAAGGTTGATTTATCTTTTTTAAAGGATGCTGTTCTATTTATGCCATATTGACTACAGATGTATGTATCAGTGGGTGGTGGCAAATTGACTATAAAGGATGGGACAAAGAGGTGACAAACTTCATTGGGTACAAAATTGAGGCTGAGGGCAGAATATGACTTGCCTAAATTGTTTTTTATAGAGGTACTTCTGAGCTTGTGTTTTAGCCTTTTTGCACCTGGTTTTTGTGTTTTGTTGAGAATGTAACATTTAGATGCTAGAGACTCAGGTGTGTGATTTTATTTTACTAGGTTGCTTCTTTGGCTGACAGTTTCACTCAGGAGTTGAATGATTATTTGTAGCTGGCCACTAAAGAAAATCAGCTCAGAACCTACTTATATGGACAATTCTGACATATTTGCTGGTTCATATCAATTGTTCCATTTGATTTAGCACTTTTTGCAATGAATGTCAGAATAGTCATCATCTATAGCTCTGGTAGCGTAGTGGTTTCGAATCGGGCTGCGAATCGCTAGGTCAGAAGTTTGAAACTACCAGCTGTTTCACTGGAGAAAGATGAGGCTTTCTGCTCCCGTAAAGATTTACAGCCTCAGAAACCCTGTACAGGGTCGCTATGAGTTGGAACCGACTCCATGGCACATAACAACAACAACAATTGTGGAGTCCAAGGAGCTCTAGTAGTGTAGTAGTTACGAATCAGGCTGCGAACCACAAGGTCAGCAGTTCGAAACTACCAGCTGTTCCACAGGAGAAAGATGAGGTTTTCTGCTCCTGTAAAGATTTACAGCCTCAGAAACCCTGTGCAGGGTTGCTATGAATCAGAACCGATTCCACGGCACATAACCACCGCCACCATAGTGGAGTCCTGGTGTGGTGCTGTGGGTTAATGTGCTAGACTGCAAAACCATTTGAACTGTAATGTCAGTGGTTCAAGCTCACCAAGCTGCTCCTCAGAAACCCTATACAAGGTTGCAGTGGGTCAGAACTGTCTTGACAGCACTTAACAGCAACAACAACAACAGCATATTGCAAGAAATGACCTTTCAACTTCCAGATCTGGTCCCTGCTTCTTATACTCCTTCCCATAGTGCACTGCAATCCCTGCATAGTGGTCTTCTGGCAACTTCTTAAAATATCCCTAGAAATTCTGCTTTTTGAACTCAGTACAGCTAATTCCTTTTTGGCTGATAAATCTCAGCTTTTTATTTTTTGTCTGAAAAAATAAAGCACTTTAATAACTTATTTTCATTCGCATGTGGACCTTAGGATAAAAAGTATATACAATTATTATTTTACCTTTAATGGATAAGGAAATTGAGGCTGAGGGCAGAGTATGACTTGCCTAAATTGCAGAAATAGCCAGCGAAAAATCTGGAAGCTGGAGCTTGCCTGATATCTATGCCAGAGAATGAGGAGGACAGTGAGGCTTGGGACTACTGAGCAAGAATAGCAAATGTAGGCAATGCAGAAAATGGGTAATGTCGTGCCATATTGTTGATTTGCATCACCAAGATACAGGAAGCTAGAGTTTGAGAATAAAAATTAAGTTATCTCAACTGGGGTGTTAAAAAAGGATTACTGTAGATACAGAAAGGAAAATATTAGTTTCTTTTGGATGCAAAGATGGAAACAGGAAAGCTAGAATTAAGACTATTGTTAGTAGCCCAGGAGATAGATGACGGGAACTTAAACCAAGTGATAGTGGTGAAAGGAAAGAGAAAAGTATAAATTCTGGATAAATAAAAACGATGGCTTCATTTCATATGTATAAGTAGTGTAAGGGTAGCCAATGGATAATGCAAAAAGAAATTGGACTCTGGATATATTTTTAAAGAAAAGCTGATTTATTTATAGAGTGAATCTGTGGTATAAAATCAAAAGAGGAGTCAAGAATGGCTTCAGAGATCTTGATTTTCTTACGTATTGATTGTGCATGTGAAAATTTAATAATTATACAGAGCAATTTGTTCTCTAGAAAACAGATGTAGATTCTGTGCTCCCCCCAAATTCCACTTCTCTATCTTAATGCTAGGAGCCCTGGTAATGTAGTGGGTTATGTGTCGATTTACTAACCACAAGGTCAGCAGTTTGAGTCCACCAGGCACTCCTTGGGAGAAAGAGGCTTCCTGCTCCCATAAAGATTTAAAGTCTTGGAACCTTATACAGGGTCATGATGAGTTAGTATCAACTCCACAGCACACCATCAGCACTGCCATCATTTTAATGTTATTGTTGTTGTTAGGTACCATTGACTCAGTTCTCACTCATAGCAACTCTGTGTACAACAGAATGGACCACTGCCTGGCCTTTGCCATCCTTACAATCATTCCTGTTTGAGAACATTATTGGAGTTCACAGTTGTTAATCCATCTCACTGAAAGGCTTCGTCTTTCTTAGTAACCCTCTACTTTACCAACCATGATGTCCTTCTGCAGGGATTGGTCCTTCCTCATAGCATGTCCAAATATTGTGAGATGAAATGTTATCATGCATGCTTTTAAGGAGTGTCTAGATATACTTACTCCAATATAGATTTGTTCATTCTTCTGGCCGTCCATTGTACTTTCAATATTCTTCACCACCCCATAATTTAAAGGATCAATTCTTCTTTAGTCTTCCCTACTCATTTGAATATTTTGAAATGATTGAAAATACCATAGCATGGGTCAGGCACACCTCATCCTCAAAGTGTGTTATTTTTGCTTTGTAACATGTTAAAGAAGTCTTTTGCAGCAGAGTTGCCCAGTGCAATACATAATTTGATTTCTTGACTGCCGTTTCCCTGGGTGTGAATTTT